CCTGTCAGCTCCAGTAAGCCAACCAGAAAAGCAGTATCAGTTCCATCTATGGCTTGGTGAAGGAAGGTGTGGATGGGATCACACAACTCCTGAAACCCGGCTACGTGTGCAGCTGTGGATTTTATAGCAGTTAGGTAGGTGACTTCAGATAACAAGAAGTTCTACAAGCTTCACTATGATCCTTATCTAGTTTGGGGCTGAGCTCACCTAAAAAGGAAATAAAACATGGAGAGGAAGACTAGAGGGGAGCAATTTTTGGAAATGGAGGATAGGAAGATAAGGCCCATGGCTAAGAGCACTGAAGCCACTTATAGGGTTTCTCAAGCTCGGCACTGCTGAATTTGGGGCTGGAAAATTCTTTGCATTGCAGGATATTTATTTTAGCAACATCCCTGGCCTCTACCCACTCGAAGCCAGTGGCATCCCTTTCTTCTGTTGTGATAGCCAAAAATTTCTGCAGACATTTCCAGATGTCCTCTGCTCACCCCAACACCACAGCCTGGGCCTGCAGTGTCTGACCAAGGAAACGTCTGACCACACAGACAACTGGGAAAGCACTGGTGGGAGAGTGCTCTTATTCAGTGCCAGCTGCCATCCCTAAGAGCAACAGCTCTGGCCTTTACAGGGCAGAGATCTGGGGATTACCCTGGACAGTGGTCCTCAAGCTTGAGCATTCATCAGGCTTACCTGGAGCGTGTGAAAGCAGAGGGTAGAGCCCCATCCCCAGAGTTTGTTAATTAGTAGGTCTCGGGCTAGGGCAGGATCACTGGCATGTCAGATTCCCAGGGGATGCCACTGATCTGGCAAGGTGACCAACCATCTGAGTTTGCCCAGGACTGAGAATGATTGCAAGACCTGGGAACTTGCAGTGCTATGTAATAAAGCCAGAAAAGTCTCAGGCAAACTGAGATGAACCGATCACCTTATTAAGTCCAGGGATCACACTTTGAGAACCATGGTTTAGGGAAATAAGATCAAATGGGCTTGATGCAAACTTAGATTTGAAGCCTGAGAAAAGGAAGAACCAAGGCTGACCTTCATGTTTCTGTCCTGAGCAAGGTGATCCATGGTTATATAGTGGGCCTCCAATTTTGCTGCCCACTACAACCACCTAGAATCTTTAAAAATACTGATGCCAGGACCTTACCGCAAGATACTCTAATTTAGTATGCAATGTGACCCAGGCAGCAGGATTTTTAAAAGCTCCCCAGGTGACTTTCATGTGCAGCAAAGTTTGGAAACCACTGGGTTTGCCCTTCTCTTAGAATAGAATCCACTGGGGCAGCAGGAAGGGAAGCGGGGAGCAGGGCAAATGAATGAACTTCAGGTGTTCATGAGCCTCCAGTGTTCTCAGCTCTGTTCTCACACTGATATCCAGGCCCCACTCCCAGAGATTCTGATGTAACTAGTCTTGGTTGGGCCTGTGCATTGGTAGTTTTAAAAATCTCCCCAGTACATACAATGGAATATTATCCAGCCTTAAAAAGGAAAAAAATTCTGATACAGGCTACAATATGGATGATTCCTGAGGCCAGTATGCTAAGTGAAACAAGCCAGTCACAAAAGGAGAGTGTCTGGGCGTTCCACCTCCATGGGGCACTTGGAGTGATCCCATCCCTAGACACAGAAGTAGACCAGTGGTCGCCAGGGGCTGGTGGGGAGGGAGACACAAGGATTTGTTTAATAATGGATGCAAAGTTTCAGTTTTGTAAGATGAAAAGAGCTCTGGAGATTGGCTGCTCACAAGGTGAATTTGCTTACCACTACTGAACTACACAGTTGAAAATGGTTAAGATGGTCCATTTTATGTTATGTGTCTCTTTATCACAACTAAAAATAAGTAAATAAAAAGTCTAAAAAGGAAGTCATAAAAAAAAAATCTCAAATGAATCTAAGGTGCACCGGTCCACCCATGTGGGGGTGCTCAGTGGCAGCAGATGGCTGGTAGGCTGTGCTTCTGGGCTCGGTTCCTCAGTGCAGTGGTCATGCCCCTTAGCAGTGATTGATAAGGAAATGGGGTCTGTCCTAGTCCAGCTGAGGTCTTCTAGCTCCTCCTGCTCCTCTTCTTTGAGGCAGATCAATCTTAAACCCACCCAAAGTATGCTGGATGCTCACTTCTCTGTACGATTTTGACTGTAGAAAATTCTCAGAAGTTCATTTTCGTCACAGAAATGTGACAAACTGTGATTTAGGGAAGTTTTCTTGCCTCAAATGTTCTGAAAAGGCACCCCATTTGTTCTTTTATGCCTGTAATAAGCACTGCAGTTCAGCCTCGTTTTCCTCTAAATCCATGTCCTTGGAATTCTGCAATCTGTGTCCCTGTCCCACCCAACCGACGAAAGCATTTAGCCCACAGTCTGAAGCTGGAAACAGACTTTTGGTTTGGAATCTACCCTATGAATGGATTTCCTACTGGAGAGAAACAGGAGTGCCATGACATTTCCTATGTAGCTCTTTAATTATCTTCAGCAACTAAGAGCCCAGATCATTGCAAACCTTGAGTCACAGGCTTCTCACAGAGATTGTAATTTCACTGAATCCAGTTTCTCTGGTTGTATAGAATAACATTTTCTTTTCTTTTTCTTTTTTCTTTTCCTTCTTTCTTTCTTTCTTTCTTTTTTTTTTTTTTTGAGACAAAATCTCACTTTTTCACCCTCAGTAGAGTGCCATGGTGTCATAGCTCTCAGCAACCTCAACTTGTGGGCTCAAGCAATCCTCATGCCTCAGGCTCCCAAATAGCTGGGGCTACAGGTGCCTGCCACTGTGCCTCGCGATTTTTTAGAGATAGGGTCTCACTCTTGCTCAGGCTGGTCTTGAACTCCTGAGCTCAAGTAATCTACCCTCCTCAGCCTCCCAGAGTGCTAGGATTATAAGGCATGAGCTACCCCACCTGGCCCCCTAGAATAACATTTCCAAACTTTGCTGACATTGCCCATTCTCATTAAAAGGATGACTCTATTGCCAGCCTTTGTGCATTTCTGGACAGAATAACGCAAGCAGGCAAGAGTTCTAAATCCAGACAGCATCAAGATTAGAAATTTCTTCTTATCCTAAGTGTAGCTGGCAATTGACCAGAGCCTCATGGCCTGTCTCTGACAATGTACCACCTAGGAAAAGTGCATGGGTTCAAGAAGCCTGTACAGAAGGGACCTTCCTAAAGCCCCACCCTGGATTCTCTAAAGGTATTCACAAGGTTTGGTATCCGATCATTAGGCCAGAGTCACAGATGTTTCTGACAGGGAGCGAGCGCTCACTCACTGGAGATTCTGCAGGAGGACTGCTTCTCAGTGAATCATTCTCTTATGACATTAGGCTTCCAAAATGAACCCCAGGCTGTGTAAAGAGCTTGAGTCACAGAGTGGGAAATTTGCCTAAAATCATTTCAAAACACTCTAAAAAGACTTCACAGGAAGAACTGGCTTTTGGGCGGAGGAGGGCGGTATTTAAGGCAAAGGAAATAGCCAGTTTCCCTGGAGGAGGGCTTGGAAAGCAGCACGTGGAGGTCCCAGGCTGGAGCACACAGGCTGTGAGCGAGAGTGGAGGGTAATCTTAAAGAAGATAACTTCAAAAATATTCTCACAAAAAAACACAGGAAAAAACATTTTTAAACTCCTATCCAAATAAAAATTAAAATAATGATGCAGCATTATTTTTTGCTTTTTAAACTGAAAAGCTTTAAAAATTCATCATAATGTTGACAAGGACTCATGTCAACTGTTGTTCCCATGGACCGTCGTGAGAGTATAAATTGGGACCATCTTTCTGCATGACAGTCTGAAAGTGACATCAAAATCTTTATATATGCACACATGTGTATTTGCACCCCTGCATATATGCACATGTATATATATATCTACTCTTTGTATGCACAAGTATGCTCACACACACATACACACACGCTGTTAGATCCCTTATTTCCATTCCATCTCATATATCATACGGAATAATGAAGGATATGAACAAAGATTTAGCAGAAATATTTATAATAAAATATTAGAAACAAAGTTATATCAACCAATAGGGAATTCATTACATAAATTCTGGATTCTGCAATCAGGGGACTACCGTGCAGTAATTAAAAGCACTGGTGTAGGGTGGCACCTGTGGCTTCAAGGACTAGGGCGCCGGCCCCATATACCGGAGGGGGCAGGTTCAAACCCAAGCCTGGCCAAAAACTGCAAAAAATAAATAAATAAAAAATAAAAGTACTGGTGTAGGAAAGAAGTTTGCCTCCTTCCCTCCCTACCCTGCAAGGTAACACCTCATAGACTCACTCTCTCTTCTCCATCAGCTCCATGGCTGTGGGATGGAGGGAGGCCTCTCTCTCAAGGGCATGGCCAAATCTGCAAAGGGGAGAGTGTGGGGTTGCTCTGTAGGAGCTCCGGGTGACCCTCATGCCCTCATTAGGTTAAAAATCACTGGTTAAAAACACACTTGTTGGTACAGAAAGATAACTGGCATACATTCAAATAAGCAAACAGTGTGTCATTATTTTTTAAAATTATTTATAGGCAAGGTAAGAAAATATGGAAGAATATACAGCAAATTATTAATTGCTCTTCTCTGGATGGTAGTACTAGAGGTGATAGTTTCCTTTATTTCACCTGTGTGAGTTTTCCACTTTTTGTATAATGAGTATGTATTAATTGTAATTTATTAGAAAAAAAAGTTTCTAAGTAAGAATGGGTTTAAAAAAGTTAAAATTAAAACAGGCAAAGGAAAACTTTTTTCATCTTCCCACAAACTATCGAATTCTGACATTTCAAACAATGACAAACATCAATAGTATGCAAATATTTGTTAACATTTTATACATTCGTATTTTTTAAAGAACTGGGCATTGTGGGGATTTTGTACCTGTGAAGTGTTTAAACTCCATTAGACAAACCTGAGGGCTTTTAAATAATATTTGATGATGGCAATTATTGACTCTCTCCGTGACTGACTTTAACCTTTTTAAAATCCAGCAGAATTGAATTTAATCATTGCCTGACAAAAGAATGGAACTTCAACTGACCCTTTTTTTACACCTTGGTAAGTATTAGTTGTCAAAATCCATTGTATGTTTACATTGAATTGTCCCAAAATAGTCAGTAGGAAGAGTTTTTAAACACATCTATTTCTTCTATATTGCTATATACTTGCATAGCGATTTCACGTGTAATTATGCCAAGCAACTGAAAAATCCCATTCATACGGGATTTTCATAGCATCCACACACAGCTATTTCTATCACTCTTTAATGGAATGTTATCATCGACAGGTAAGTCTAGTCAGGTACCCAAGAACGGAGAGAATAGTTTCAGATTCTTAAATCACAAATATAATGCATTTAATTAAAGATAGCTCTGCTTTGAATGTAATACTTATCTCAGTGATGAGGTCTTATGAGAAGTTAATAGGCAAAACTCCCTCTTCTAAGTAAGCGGTAACTCTAAGGGGAAAGACTGAATTCTTCATGCTTCTGCGGTCTTTAATAAGCTGACAATTATTTGTATTAATCATAGGGAAGATGTTTCCAACAATTACTCTCTTTGATCTGACTTTTCTGTATCTATAACAGCGCTGACTTGGTTACTGAGTGCTAACTAAATTGAATTTTTTCATAGCAGCAAACCTTCAGAATTTCATCTTTTAATTTGCGATTTCTCAAACCTGAGGTAATTTTCTAGTTAGATCTGCTAATAAAGGAGGAAATAACAGCTCCAGATGGTAAGTGCTCATCTGTTCTCTGTTGAAAGTCCCCTGCCTTGGAGAGGCGAGCCCCAGACCAGTGGAAACATAGACCCGTGATCCATCTTGGGCCTTCAGTATATAAGTCCACATCCTAGGACTGTGAGGCTTAGAAGGACCTCAGATGGTCATAAAAGAGTTGTTTTAAGCTACATCTGCCTTGGATATTATTTTAACTAAACCAGGATTCAAAGTCAGAAGGGATCACTTCACCTTCTCCCCAGCCTCTATGTAGAACACCATACTCACTCCTTGCAAAAGTGCCAAGTCCTTAAGATTCCTCCTCCATAGTGGACCCCTCTCTCTGGAGGGCAAATCTTCTAATCTAAATTAGCTTCGGTAGGAAATGCTTCCGTGCAATCAACCCTGGATTTCTAAACCTAAGTTTGTCCTGACCTAAACCAGATCTCTAGGGTTACCTATGGTCAAATTCCCAACCACGTTATCTAACCACACATCATCAGCTTGGGTACTTTTCCACTGGTAGTTTGATATGGGCTTTGTTTGTTTGTTTATTTGTTTAAGACAAAGTCTGGCTTGGTGCCTATGGCTCAAGCGGCTAAGGCGCGAGCCACATACACCTAAGGTGGCGGGTT